ATTCTGAACACTGCCCCATTTCCCAAAATAAACATAAACTAAAAATGAAATTAAATAGCATTCCCGTGTTCCTCAGACAGAGCAGCAATTATTGTTTTATTTTTTTTCTAAGAACAGGAAACACAAAATTAACTGAGAAGAGCAAGAGGCAGCCATGGCTGAGAACACTGAAAGCTGTGGCCTCCAGATGGAATTCTTGCCTTCACAGAGCTGTCACATTTCATCATGGCATGTCCTTTGCACTTCTATCAGCAGAGGCAGAGCCGGGGGCAGCCTCTGCACTCTCGCCAAAGCCGTACAACCCAAACCACAAAGCGGACCTCAAACTCCAGTCAGAGTCTCTTCTCCCTGGCAAATTTTGGGTTTTTTGGGATAAGACTATATTTCTCAGACTCTCTTGCAGCTACATGTGGCTAGGTTATCAAATCTCAGCCAGTGGGATATGAAGAAAATGAACACAGGTAACTTCCTAGTCTTGTTCTAAAAAGAGAGGTTTGTGGCCGGTCTATCTATTTTCTGGGGAGAAAATACAGACGAAGCTCAAACAGCCACAGCCACACGGGATACCGCCACAGAAGTGACACACAAACGTGAACACGGAGAAGCTGCTCTCAGTGTCTGTGAGCAGCCGGATGATGCCTAAACTTTTAAGAAACGTGTTTTGCATGTCTACCAATGGCAGACTCTGCATCCCCTAGTTAATGAGCTTCCATGGTAGCAATGAAGACCCCTCCCAAAGTTTAAGGCCTTAGCTGTTGAGAAGGATCAAGTCACTACTTATTGGGAGCGTACTGTTTATTAAAGTCAACCGAGTCTCTCCACTTCCCTCCCATGCCTATGTTCTTACTGAGGCTGTGGCTACCTCATTTTAGAAGAACCAGGAAGTGACTTAGAGAAGGACACTCTGGGCGGGCCCAGTGTGGCGCGGGAATGTCAAGCCTTGGAAATATTCAAAAGCATCAGTCTGGACGAGCCCATGTCCAGCGGGAGAGTGAAAGGATGGCTGAGCAAGAGTCAGTGTTCACAAGAGTCCCTGAGCATGGAGCCCAGCCAGAGAGTGAAGGCACTGAGCTGTAGGCAGACTGGGGAGAGAGGCGTGACTCACAGACAGGAGACTACAAAAGCGCTGGGTGCTGTCTGGATCCCCTGCCGTCACCAGAGAGGGTGAGTGCCACTTACAGAGTGACAGCGGTGACATTATGAGGAGAAACGGAAAAGTACAAGCACATATTTAGACATGGCAATTGTGTTCTCACCATCAAATCCTGCTGGAGAGCCATCGAAGGCAGGGCCAGGTCTCCACCTGAGGCTGAGATAAATCCCTGTCTCCGTACACTTCTCCCACAGTGGGAACTCCAGCTCCAGGCCCCGTCACTGTCTTGTGCTGACAGGGAGGCCAGGCTGATGGCTGGCTACAGCTTAGCTCTAAAGCCAGCCCTCCGAAGACAGCCTCAGCCTTCACATCTCTTGGGATGTTCTAGGAGAACGGAGGAAAGAGGGCTAGCTTGAAAGTGCTTTTTTCCTGTTTCCTGCAATCCTCTGGGGAATGAATGGGTTGTAATGAGATGTTCAGATCAGATATAAGCTTCCTAGCACTCGGCACTGCTAGGACACACAGCACCACGGAAGAGCTGAGGAACGCCATCCATCCCCACAGCATGAAAATCCATCACAGAGGGGAAACCAGTCTCACTTTGAGGATGCCGGGCAGCCTGGGAGGGAGGCAGCACAGAGCTCTCTGGATCCGCCCAGGCTCTCACTGCTACACGAGGTGTCAGTCCTCGTGTAAGTGTGACCCCAGAGTGGTACAGAAGGGGCACGCGTGTGCACGTGTGTGCACAGAGACAGCAGAGGGAAGAAGCTGCAGACTAACACCATCCTGAAGGAAGGCTGTTCCGTGGGTCACAGGGCTGGTCACCAGCATCACACATGTGCAAAACCTTTCTCGTCAGCACAAAAAATTGTCAGACGTGTGTCACAGCTGTAAGTGACAGGTGGCTGAGAAACAGCCGCTTCCCTGAACACCTCGCCCTGAGTCCGGATTGTGACTGTGTTCTGAGTTTCTACAACAGGCACGGGCAGCCTGCTCAGCTTCACGGAAGGAACTGTGCACGCATCTGTGAGTGAGCATGGGGAAGGTATGCATGGGGAAGGTATGCAGGCGGCCCACCCCGAGTGTGGCTCAACCACCTTCTCCAGCCTGCCCGCCAGTCACGTGACAGGCAGAGCAAGCTGCAGGCCGCATGGTGTGCTCACCATCGTGTGTGACGGTCACAAGAGTTCTGCACAGAGTTAGACAGGAGCACGTAAGCCCCGGTCCACATGTTCACCACGCTTCTTTGCCAGGCCTCTCCACGCAGAGGAAATGGCCCTAGCATGAGCATTGTTCTTCAGCTGCTGTGGAGAAGTGGAAACACCACCTGGCTCCGGGAAGGCGGAAGCATACAAGAATCGGAAGTGACCGTGGTTGCCCCGATACTAGGAAATAACACTCCTACGGGAGAAAAGCTTGGGAAGAGAGATGCACGTCTTCACCGCGTGTCTTCAGGGCTTTCTTTCTCCTCTGGGTGAGAAATGGCAGAGATCTCTGAAAGCCTTCTGAGGCATGGAATGGGCCCATTTCTAACTGACCACACTCAGCGAATTCTCGGTAATGGCTGTGGTGGGGTGTGCGTCTCCCCCGAAGGAAAGAAAGTCTGTTCCTACACACAGCATGTCACTTTGCTTATTCCACACCCTGAGGAAGCATGGTGGGGAGCAGCTCCGTGGCGGGCTGCAGACTCAGCACGGTGAAAGACGCCGGCCTCGAGGCCCAGCGCTGGGCTCTGCTTTGGTGTGCCTGTGAGCTGCAAGCCCCGACTAGAAACCAGCACAGTTAACCCTGAAGCCCTTCTGGAAGAGACCTTAAATCCTCGCCCGAGACATGAGAAAGCACGGCAAGTTCTAATTAAACTGAAGCAATTAGCCACCCCCGGATCCTTCTCACAGCTTCCCATGGCCAGGCAATCATCTCTATTAAACCCACTTTAAAATCAGGAGCAAAGGCAGCAGCTCCACCAGCACCCAGCTCCCAGAGTCCATTATCCCTTCAGACATATCCTGCAAAAGCCCTCAGGAATCTGCCTGCGTCAGGCACAAGCAGAGGGCGGTGGTGAGCAGGGGACAGGACACACAAAGACTACCCCCAGAGCTGGACCTCAACCAGGAGGCAGACAGCATCCAGCCGAAGCCGCAGATTCTCCAGGCGGGGCAGCGATCCATCCAGCAGAGCCACCTTAAGGAGCCCTGCCTGTGGGCTCTGCAGGTCGAGGTCTGGGGAAAGACCGTCCCCAGAGTGCGGGCACGGTACAGTGGACGCCACGGCACAAACCACACAGGCTCACCACATCTCCAGCCAGGCAAGGCCCACCCCACTAAGGCTTCCTGGAATCCAGAGAGGTCAATGTCGCCAGCCAAAGGCATGCTCTAGACTTCCACAGCAACAATCAATAGTTGCCAGTGGTAAAACGACGCAGACTTAAGCACTTGCCTCAAGAACTAAGAGGTATTCTGTGCAGAAACAATAGCCCGTTAAAATCTCTCTCTCTCTCTCTCTCTCTCTCTCTCCCCCTCCTCTATGTGTGCGAGTATGTGTTGCATACTGAGCATGGAGATTTCTCCACAGAGAGGCAGGCAGGAAAATATTCACCTTAATTGGGAATAATTTGGACTCGGGTCTATAATCCTAGCACTGATGTAGGCTGGGGCAAGGGGATTGACAGGAGTTTGGGCTGGCCTAGGCTAAACAGAACTGGTCTTCAAAAAAGAAAACAGGGTGAGCGGCCAAGAAAAGAAGAACACGGGAAAAAGTGATGATTCAGACTAGGTTCTTTTAGAGAAACGAAATTTTCCCTAAGAAACACTTTGCTAAATACCTGTTCAGCCAGCACAGTGGCAACGCCTGCAATCCCAACACTCCAGCAGGCAGAGGCAGGTGGGTCACTGTGGTTTCAAGGCCAGTTTGGTCTACAAAGCAAGTCCAGGACAGCCAGCGCTACACAGAGCAACCTTGTCTCAAATGAAACCCACCCCAAAATAAAAAAGCCCAAAAGGTCACGTGATAGACTATTTCATTGAACACTGAACTTCAGATGTATTCTAACTCGAACATCTAGCCAGTGTACAGATGACCAGGACACCCAGAGCTCCTCTCTCGGGCCTGATCTTTCTCTCGGGCCAGGTTGAACCTTGCAGATCTAACCTATGTTAAAGCAACGCATGGCACAAGACACACATTAGCGGCCTGCTGGCCACTCGCTCAGGTACGCTCATCAGGAAAGAAGCGGGGAAAGCGAGGCAGGTGCAGGCAAGATGGCTGCCGGTTCCTCTCTGCTTGTGACCATGTCACTGTGGAAGTGAAACACCACACTCACTATACAACAAACGTGGAAAGACCTGCGACAGCTCAGTGCTCTTAGCAAACGGTTTATGAAACTGTCTTTTCAAACTTTATAAAACTCTAGTCTCCAGACGTCCAGATACACAGAGACACTGGACCCTCAAAGCCATCAAAAAGTAACCACTGCCCCTTTCTCCTCCCCCTCCGCTCCCCTTCCCCTTCCTGTCTCTCTACTAACAGGGTCTCGTGTAGCCCAGGCTGGCCTGGAGCTTTCCACCTAGCTAACGGTGACCTTGAACTGCTGACTGTCCAGTCACTACTCCCTGAAAGCCGAGCTTGCGCGTGCTCCACCACCGCAGTTTTGCAGCCCTGGGGATGGAACCCAGGCCTGTCTGCAAGCCACGCCAGCACTTCACCAACTGAGCTGCATCCCCCGCCCTCTCTCACATTTCACAAGTTTGTTTTCAACCAACACAAGCTGATTTAAAGACCAGGAAAAGCATGAAGCCCGTCTTTGTGAGAAAGCCTGAATCATTCTTTGACCATGCTGGCCGAGCACCCCTGCCCCGCTTTCAGCCTGGCTACCAGGCCAGTCCCCACGCCACCGGAGTGCCATACTCACAGCCAATCATCATGATGGCCACTGCGAAGATCTTCTCGATGTCTGTGGACGGGGCGATGTTCCCAAAGCCCACGCTGGTGAGGCTGGTCATGGTGAAGTAGAGCGAGGAGATGTACACGGAGTTCTTGCTCGGGCCGCCTTCCCACTTCCCCGAGCCGGAGCCGTTAAACTGGTATGGCGTGCCCGTGTCCACGGCCAGCTGGTAGAGCCAGCTGTTGTTGCGGATCGTCTTGGTGTCCTCATCAAAGATCTCGTAGTCGCCAATGCTGTACCAGATGCAGGCCATCCAGTGGGCAGCCAGCCCGAACACGCACACCAGCAGCACCAGCACGGCAGCGCCGTACTCGATGTAGTGGTCCAGCTTGCGGGCCACGCGCCCGAGACGCAGCAGCCGCACGACCTTCAGGGAACTGAACAGGCTGCTGATGCCCTGCAAGGGGACGACACAGATCAGACAGAACCAACGACGCTGGCGGTCCGTCCCGTGGCCCCGCCATTGCCATCAGCTTAAGCAGTGTGTACGGTGCCGTGACATGCAATATTATACAACCCTTAAAGACCTAACATTGGACCCCTTTTGGAAAAGACTGTGTATTTTGTGTGCGTGAGGGTTTTATCTGCAGCCACCTATGCGCACCATGTACTTGCCTGGTGCCTGCCGAGGCCAAAGGGAGTGTCAGGTCCCCTGGATCTGGAGTTAGAGACAACTGCCAACTGCCAGGTGCATAATGGGCACCAGAGCTGTATGCCCTGCAAGAGCGGCGAGCTCTTAGCTGCTAAGCCATCTCTCCATCCCCTCAAAGTTAAAATTCTATTCCAAGGTGTATGGGATAGAAATTTCCATTCGTTGTTTTATGGCTTGATTAAAAAATGAAACAAGTGGAGTTATTACAGGTGAGAACAAATGGGTATGCATCTTTCCACAGCACTACCTATTTTACGGGGACTTTCAAGGGTTGTATAATATTTCATATTGCACACCATGACATATTTGAGTTGTATCATATTTATTTCATGTGGCAATGAGTTATGTAACCACACTGCATTGCACATAAGCAAACAAATATGTGTGCGGCAGAAGCAATCAGGAACCACAGGCTGTTTCTGTTCTGTTTTTACCTATTTTGTTATAAATGTACATATTTACCTAATTTCTGTCATTATCATTACTTCGATAATTAGGAAAAACACATTTAAAGTGAATAAGAAATATGCCAAGCATGGTGGCACACACCTTTAATCTCAGCACCAGCCAAGACTGGAGGCCAGCCTGGTCTACATAGTGAGTTCCGGGCCAGCCAAGGTTACATAGTGAGGCCACACCTCAAACAAACAAATAAGTAAGAAAAAAGGAAAGGAATGAGAGAGGGGGAGAAGGAGAGAGAGAAAAAAACAGAAAGGGCTAAAAGGATAGAGTTGAGGTTTTGATGGGAGGCTGAAGGTGTATACAGCCAGACACTGAACACACACATGCACACACACACACACTCAGTCCAGGAGACTAAACAAAAGCATAGCTGTATGTAAAGGCCACGATCTGAACCACACATGTCCATTTGACACTTCAGCGACGTCTCTGACCTCAGTGTAAACTGGGAGGAGTGGACCAGCCAGGGCACCCCTCAGCCTTCCAGACACTGATATACCAGCTCCCATCACCCCCACAGAGGCTTCGAACACACCACAGAAGCCAGACCCCTTCCCACCCGATCCCTATTCGGACATGATCCCAAGGTGTGCGCATGAACTGTTCCTACTTCCCCTGAAACAAACTAGAAAGCACACAACACAGAGATGTGTCTTTGAGTGAAGGCCCCTTCATACTTTCCCTGGGAAGAACCCCGGGAAGGGTGCTGCCCTTCACTGTGAGGGAATGCATGGCGGCCCTCTACTCCAACCGTCAGACCTAGACCAGCCATTCCTCTGCCCCCAGGACTCTCTCATCCTCCGTCCTCCTAAAGCCCGTCCCCACACCCCGGGTCAATTACGACAGCAGAGGGAAAAGAAATGAGCGCTTCCTGACGCGTGTGCAAGGAGTCACTCTGGCACACTCCTCTCTCCGGGCCATTGCTAAACTGAGGTCCTCGCGCTCTTTCCATCTACCTGGCTCCCAGGAACTAGTTTCTACCAGTGCGTCAAGGTAAACAGATGTCTCTTCCAGGGAAGCTGTGCTTTTTCCTTTTCCTGTCCTGCCTTCAGGGTACGTCTGTGAGATCTTGAAGCTATGCCCTGGAGACGGCAGACCAACTGACAGACAGGCCTTGGTCCCTGGAGTGCTACTCAGGAGCTCAACCCAGGTAAGCCTCAGCTGTAGCAGGTAAGGAAGAGATCCCTGACGCGTCTTACTAGCCCCAGAGTCCTGTGAAGCAGCCACAGAGGAGGCTGTGCCGAGCCAGGGCAGAGGAGTGACACTCACTGCCCTTTCAGGAAAACAAGGCAAGGCCAAGCGTCAGCGCAAGGCAGAGGGCTGTCCAGCTTGTGTGAGCCCGGACCATAAATAAAAAAGAGGACAAATAAGCAGCTGTCACCATCGGCACGGCCATCCCCCGTGTCCTCCCCCACCCCACAGTGATGAACCTTTCCACACACAAAGAGTAGGCACATCTTCACACTGCAGCCAGTTGACAGGGTCAGGGGAGAGCCCTCTCCACAGGAATCTCCTCCTGCCCCCTAACTGAGGGCAGGCAGCTTCCACTTACGGGGAGCACAGCATCTGCAGCCGCCGTGACGGAGACATTTTGGGAGGCAAAGCAGTCTTTGGAATGAGTCAGAAATCAAACGCCGTGTGTGCTGCCACCCACATGCCACCTCCTCCTGAGGGTCCCTGAAACCGGCTCAAGGCAGAGCTTGCGTTCCGGGGTGAGACTGCCTTCTCGTTTTTCCTGGTTCATATCTAGCTCACAGCAACACTGCTACAGAGGCACCAAAGGTGCTCTGCCTCTCCCTGGCCTTCCCTTTGGCCACCCCCATGCCTCAGATGTGCCGTTCCCCACAGGCACTCTCCAGACATCAGTGGGCTGCGTCATCTTTCTCATCCTCCTTCCACATTCTTGTCCAGCCTCTCACAGTGGCCACCCGTGGTCCATTCACCCATCACTCAGTGGCCACGCCATCCTCTAGCCACATACTTCTGACAGCTCACACGTCCACATGGTAGGTAGATGGACGTGGTGCCTCTCGGCCCAGAAGGCCTGCCCTTTAATTAGTCACCTGGTGATCTAATCATCCTTCTGGCTTGTCACTGCCTCTGCCATGATGCGTCTCCAATGACCCTGAAGTCAGAACCCATCCCCAGTTCCTCAAGTCCTCAGTGTTCTGCGTCCATTACCACTGAGCATGACTTCCTGTGTGAAAAGGTCCTCATTGCTCAAAACGTCACCGGGAAGTCCATCTTCCCAAATACCGAAGTCACTGTCACTCATGCTAGAAGCAAGTGGGTTCAAAGTGTCATGCCCCACCCCATGTTGGAATTTAAGACACCACACTGAGTCCTGAGCACAGCACATGCTCAGAAGTCTGAAAAGGTGCTCAGCATCTTGGAGGCTAGGGTGTGCTTTCTCTTCCTCTCTTTAGGGAGGAACACCACTGCTCATCGGTTGGGCAAGTTCTCTCATCACACGAGCAGCTGGAATCCTGGCTATTCAAAAGCAATTCAAGCTGCTAGTTTGGTTCCCTGACAACCCTACTTTCCTGGAATTCAGTCCATGAGACAAATGAAACAAAACCCTCCAAACGTCTCTTTTATTTGAGTACGATAAATCACGACAGTGCCCTGTGGAGAACCAGGCTTCTCCAGAGAGTCCTGGCAGTGGAAAGCCACCTCATGCTGCAAGCAGTTTCCTGGATGCCTTATGGAAATCCTGGCACGGGGAAGAGCCAGGAGTCTGCAGGAGTCTGCATGAACACAGGGCAGCAAGAATAGCAGCTACTGAGCTTCCCCCTTGATGGAAGCAGACCCGGGACCTCCCTGGCCCCTCTGTGTCACACCCATGAATGTGGACTGAGATAGACGTGCCGAGGGCTTCAGACTCACTGCATGCACATTTTCAAGTTTTACTTAAATGAACAGCCAAACAAACCATTCCCTTAGATTTGTTTTACCTTGCCTTGTGTGTGTGTGGGGGTGTATCCTCCTGTGTGGGTGGGTGCATCCTGAGGCCTGAAAGGAAGTTTTGGTGTCTTTAAAAACTCTGTTATGTTGTGTAAATATGTTTTTGTTTTAATCCCAAGAGTGGGATTTCAGTGTGGGGTTTAGTTTGTCCACAGCTGATAACTGCCTCCTGCAGGGTGTGGTCTTTGCCAGCTGGTAGTAGCCTGCCTCCTGCAGCACGGAGAGGGGTGAGGTCTAGGACTCCGAGGGACAGAAATACAAGAGCCCAGAAAAAGAAGGGGTGGAGAGGCTGCTGCTGCGTTTGCTATTGCTGGAGATTGGTACATCCCCCAAAGAACCCACTAGCCAGAAGCAGCCCAGAAAAGTGAAGAGTCTGAATCCTCTCTCCCACTAACCATGTCTCTCCTCTCTCTAAGGGTTGGTGGAAGGGAGGTGGAGGCTTAAATACCCCAAATAGATCAGAATTTAAAAACAAGTGCTGCAATCTGGCACTTTTTCAGACAATTGGGAATAGTGCTACCTCAAGATCCAGCTATACCACTCCTAGGCATATACCCAAAAGATGCTCAAGTATACAACAAGGACATTTGCTCAGCCATGTTCCTAGAAGCTTTATTTGTAATAGCCAGAAGCCAAAGACAACCCATATGTCTCTCAGTTAAGGAATGGGTACAGAAATTGTGGTACATTTACATAATGAAATATACTCAGCAATTAAAAACAAGGAAATCATGAAATTTACTGGCAAATGGTGGGAACTAGAAAAGATCATCCAGGTGAGCTATCCCAGAAGCAGAAAGACACATATGCTATATACTCACTTATAAGTGGATATTAGACATATAGTATAGTATAGGATAAACATACTAAAATCCGTACACCTAAAGAAACTAAGCAAGAAGGAGGACCCTGGGTAAGATGCTCAATCCTTATTCAGAGAGGCAAATGGGACAGACATTGGAAGAGGGAGAAAACAGGGAACAGGACAGGAGCCTACCACAGAGGGCCTCTGAAAGACTCTACCCTGCAGGGTATCAAAGCAGAGGCTGAGACTCATAGCCAAACTTTGGGCAGAGCGCAGGGAATCTTATGAAAGAAGGGGGAGATAGAAAGACCTGGAGGGGACAGGAGCTCCACAAGGAAAGAAAAAAATCTGGGCACAGGGATCTTTTCTACGACTGATACTCAAACCAAGGACCATGCATGGAGATAACCTAGAGCCCCTGCACAGATGTAGCCCATGGCAGCTCAATGTCCAAGTGAGTACCCTAGAAAGGGAAAGAGGGACTGTCTCTGACATAAACTCAGTGGCTGGCTCT